CGGCTAAAAGCTGTTAAACAGCATTCCTACAGGTTCGCCTTCACGACTGCTGCCGCCCCGATCACCAGGGGCCGACCTACGGCAGAGAGCGGACCAGGAGAGCACACACCGAACGAGCGAACGAGCAAATAAACGGGTACAGTGGTCACTGCTGCCCTGGAAGCTGGAGCCGCTAGAGCTACCGGCCGCCACCTTCACACGGCCTCCAAGAAGCCTACTCGCTACCTGGGACATACGGATAAGGAGGTACACATCACCCTCTTATCCAACCACGGTGCCAGCGCTCTTAACACCACCGGCGCTAACACCTCCCAGGAGTGGCTCTAAAAGAGGCGGCAGAGAGGAACAGGCCACTCAGACGGACCGTCGCAGCCTGGTGCATCGCGGCACACAACATCGTCAGCCGCAGACACAGGAGCGGGCCACGCAGTCCTCCGACTCTGACTGGGACGATCAGAACAACGGCCACGCAAACAGAGGCAAATCACCACAAAGCCTCCACGCACCTCCGGCGAGCTGCTTCAACACCAGCGAAGCCCAGAGTCTCGTCCGAGCAAGGACCCTTAAAGTGGACTAAAACCACGCCACAAATCTCGTGGCGAGAAATCCTCGCCACGCGTAGGAGTCGCTAAACGCGACGCAATCGGCCCTTTTCAGGGCCACACGAAATTTAACACTTGTACATATAACCAGGAGAATATATTTATTGTCGATACATAGAACGTGCATTCTACCTTTCAATCGACATCCTATCTACGAACATATCCAAGCAACCTCCACAGTTTTCTCCATGAAAATCAAATAGTCACCAATTTTTACTATGATATTCATAATCAGCGCATCAAAATACGTAAGAATACTGAGTTTCAAAAAAATCGGGGGTGAGTATTTTTTGGAACTTTATCTATTTGCTATTTTTGTATTTATAACTTCATTGATATTGTAAGTAGATAATTTTAACAAAAGTATAATGGATATATTGAAGTATAATATAAAATTGGGTCGTTATTATGGTCGAAAGCCTTATGAAAAATTATCAACAAGACAAAAACAAAAAATAATTTGTAGAATTGAGAATGATCTATCAAGCCATAAATCTGTGGTTGAAGACTCAGAAAACACTCATCGAAATATACCTGGAAATCAATTCATAAATAATTCTTTCAATTATGGACAGTCATCATTTGAAAATATATTAACGGATTTAAGCACTGATGACAATAATGACAGTGATGACACTGATAACACTGATGATAGTGATGATAATCAATTGAATGTACATGATCGGAATGATCATGTAGATGATCACGTACCGCATGATCATCTCCATCAATTCATTGATGGAGAAACATTGAAGAAAATATTAGCGAAATGTTTCGTTATTAACAATATTTCTCTTAAACAGGGTGATGAAATACTTAAAGTTTTAAGAATGCATAGATGTTTCTCAAATTTACCAAAATCTTGCAAAACTCTTATTCAGACACCTCGTATCCCTGTCGATATAATTGCTTTGGAGCCAGGAAAATACATTCATTTTGATATCGAAAAAGTTATTTTAGACATTGTTTCATATGTACCACTTATTAAAATGCCTACTGTTTTAATATTAGATTTTAGTACCGATGGAGTAAGTTTGTATAAGGCATCAAATGTACTTTAGCTAATACATATCCGAAATGTTAACATCACTTTCAGTAAACCTGCACTTGTAGGTATTTACAAGAGTCGTAAGAAACTTAACAATGTTATAGCTTTTTTTCAACCATTTATTTCTAAAAAAAACTATTAACTCATGGATTGAAATTTAACGGCATTATAATACCTATTTAACTGCAGTGTTTTATAGCAGAAGCTCCAGTTCGAGCATTCATATTAAATCATGTTGGTCATAATGCAGTTTCACCTTGTTCTAAATGTACAATACAAGGACAAAATATCGTGCAATACAAGGGCAAAATATCGTATGGTTTTTCTTGGTACTAAATATACTTCTAGATCCAATGAAAAATATCATTCACTTGCTTATAAAAATCACAATTTAGGCAAAATCCCGCTATCGCAACTCTTACATAATTTCATACATCAAGTATCATTTGAAAGTATGCACTTAGTATATCTTGGGATTGCAAAAAAGATATTAGTGGCACTTATTGCAGGTGAATATAATAAGAAGATCAAACTGAAATCATTTGAATTAAAATTATTATCTGATCATTTAAAATTAATACAAAAATATTATCCTAGTGAATTTTCACGCTGACAAAGAATTATTACCGAATACGTTCGCTACAAAGCTACTAAATATAGACAATTTTTATTATACACTGACCCAATTATTTTTCATGATATATTAGAAAGATCTATCTATTTACATTTTTTAATTTTAAACACTGCTGTTCGAATTCTGAATTTACCCACACCTAGTCAAACATTATTAACATTTGCAGACATTGCATTAAAAAAAATTTGTAGAAAGGAGTCCTTATATTTATGGACAACGATATATGTCATACAATGTTCATGGTTTATTACATATAAGTAGAGGCGTACAACGTTATGGTTCGTTAGATAATCTTTCTGCTTTTGCATATGAAAATGAAATGTCAACATATAGAAAATTATGTAGAAAACCTGATTTACTTCTGGAACAAATTTCAAATCGAATAGAAGAGTTAAAAAAAAACAATACGAATTATTATTCAAATTCTGAAGTTCTAATTGCATTTCATAAACATTCCAATGGTCCATTTCCGACATATTTATCCATCGAATTTGAACAATATAAAAGTATTAAAGTAAATAATGTGCTCTTTAGTATTGCACTGAAGAATAACTGCTGTAGTTTAAATGATTTATCAATTTGTATATAATTATAAATATTTTAAAGAAAAATGGAGTCGTAATGTTTGCTGTAAAAAAAATTAAAAATACTAGTAGTTTTTTAAATATTGGAATACCTTCGTCAGAAATTGTTTTTTTTAATGTAGCGATCTAGCTCATGAAATACATTTTGTGTCTCTTGAAGAAGTAAAATGTAAATGCTTTCGAATGCCTTTGTAACCAAGAAATATTGAAACAAATAATAATACTTGCAATTCTTCTAATAACATGAATTATAATGACAAAATTCTCTCACATTCAAAGCAATTCGTTGTATGTACAATGCAACATTTTTTATAATATTTATATATAAAAATTACAATTCAAAATTTAAAATATTTTATAGTGTCTCTTTATTATCTTCACTTTTATTATTTTCATATGTTTATTTCCAATTTATTTGTAGCTATTCCTAATTCATACAGATCTGTTGGTTATTTTTATATCTGATAGCATAACATTTGCAATAAGACCACCAAAAAGAGAAATAATAAAGCCCGCTAGATATCAAACTACAGAATCTTCAGATGATAGTGAAAATAATATAATTGAGAAATATGAGTTAACCAGAGATGAAGTCCAAAATAAGATAGAAAATGATATACATGCATTAAGTAAAGTATTAGTTGAGACACAACAGGTATTGGAAAAAAGGATGGTGAAAGTATTTCACTTCCTTCAAATCATAGTTGTTATATATATACACTTATATTACCGCGGCACCGAGCAAGGCGCCACGGGTCACGTCACGTGACCGGCGTAGAGCGAGCAGCGCGGCGAAGGTGATCGAGAGACGACGGTTTTTGAGAGAATAGTTTAAAAAGATTAATAAACGATTGATAAGATATAACAATAGTCAATTATCATAACCATCTATCCGATCTGATATAGTATTAGATCCACCACTCAAATATGTGAAAGCTTCAGCTAGATATTATAATAAACCAGCAATGTATTATTCAAAGCAAAATGTGACATGCCTCATTCCAATTTACCCAACAATGATTATGTGGGCTCAACATCTTATCCTGTAATTTCTAATGCATAATATGATCCAAGAAACTTGCGATTGGCATGTCCTTATCAATCAGAAACATACACAGAAAATAAACCTGAAAATATAATTGAGAAACATTCCCAGACAGCATAGAATGTCCAATGGATGTCCAATTTTAGTTTTTATTTAGTCCAAAAGTCCATGGATATAATATAAACGTTTTAAGAATATCCATTAGTGGATGTTCAAAGTATATTTATATTTGGACGTTTTAAAAATGTCCATTTTACGTATATATAAAAAAAATTCTCGCCGAAAAAAATTCTCGTGTAAAATAGTTATCAATACTCTGTGGGATCTAAAAAAGATACTTTAATCAGAGTCTACACTAAGTGGATAACAATAGAGGATAGAAAAAAACAATAGACAGAAAATTCTTCTTCTATATTTTTAGAAATAATCTGAAAATTAATTAAAAAAATATGCATCAAGATATATATACTAGATAATTGTAAAATTTTCTTTAGACTTGCAATATATGTCATTTTGTTTATTAAATTATATTAACAGCATTAAAAATAGATAAGATTTTCATGCTTATTCGACGCATGTATACATAGGGTGCGTTCAGGAGACACAACTGTTGAGCATCGTCTTGTGAACACTCGACGTTGATTTGTTGGTTCTAGAAGTAAGAACCAATCACGTTCGATTGCTACTCAACGGTGTCTCCTGAACGCACCCATTCCTGGTTCCGGCATTACGCTACGTATGCGCGAGGGAAAAACCTCTCTGCGAACAATAGTGTGGATGTGCAGCAATACGCAGTCGTCTGCTATTTGTCTTCTTCAATAAAAACGCTTAGTAAGTAGTAAATAATATTAATAGATTTAAAACAATTATTGCTTGACAGTCAAATATAAGTATCTCTACACACACAAATGACACACAATTAGAACTTTCTGAAAACAACGCTTTAGAATCAGATCTATTCTTGCATTATGAATCTGATAAATCAAATGAATATCTTCCACTTTCTTCAGATTTAGTCCCGTCAATCTGCCAGCTTAATCGGTAATAACAACTCTTGCACCAAATTTGTAGCCTTTTTGCTGACAATAATTTGTAGCAAGCACTTGGCAATATCTGTTAGAACAGACGTGACTGACTGGGTAAGTATTTTCCTCATGACACTAATACTAAAGAAAATAATGTAGACGAAAAGATACAATTGAATTTAATTCAATGATCATTGACGCATAATATTTCGCATGCAGCATTAAGTGATTTATTAAAATTGTTAAAAATTCGTATCCCTGAATTATGCACTGATGCTCGAACTCTTTTAAGAACTTGTCGTACAATTATAAGCAAAGTTATTGAACCTGGGCAATATTATCATTTCGGTGTAGAAAATTGTATAAAATATCTTATAAATCACTCAAATGATTTTTTCAAGAATACCGGAATTATAGAACTTGCAATTAATATAGATGGTCTGCCTCTGGCAAAAAGTTCTGGAAGTCAAGTTTATCCCATTTTATGTCGGCTTGTTAAACATCATAGTAATGTAGATATGATTGGCATTTATCATGGCTATGAAAAACCTAAAAACGCTAACTGTTATTTAAGCGATTTTGTTGAGGATATATCAAATGTTATTAATACTGGAATTGTTATCGATACTAAACATTATTCTGTCAAAATTTCTCATTTTATATGTGATGCAGTAGCGAAAGCTTATATTACTTACACAGTCGGTCATATGGGTTACTGTTCGTGTACTAAGTGTTACGAGGAAGGTACTTATATTAATAATCGTGTCTGCTTTCCTAATACAAATCATTTACGTTTAAGAACAGATTCTTGTTACAGATTAAAAGTCCAAGAAGATCATCACAATGGCACTAGCTTATTAGAGCAGATCCCTGGTCTTGATATGATTAAATCTTTTCCCTTAGATTATATGCATTTAATTTGTCTTGGAGTCGTAAAAAAACTAATAGTAAATTTGTGGGGTGCTTTGGAAAACCTTCCGTAAAATTATCATATCAAGATATTGCAAGAATATCTTCCAATTTAATTAATCAAGCCAAAAATATGCTAGTAGAATTTAACCGTAAGCTCCGATCATTACTTGAAGCAAAAAAATGGAAAGCTACTGAGTTCACACAATTTTTGTTTTACACTGGTCCTGTTGTACTTCGAAAAATATTAAATAATGATAGATATATAAATTTTCTTAGTTTACATGTTGCAATAATTATATTAACGTCTTCAAAATATTTACACTTTATTGATTATGCTTCTAATCTTCTTTCATATTTTGTGAACACATTTAAAATTTTATATGGCGCACAAAATATATCTCATAATGTTCATAATTTATTGCATCTTTCTGAAGATGTAAAAATTTATGGCCCATTAGACAATTTTAGCACTTTTCCATTTGAAAACTATTTACAAAGTATTTTAAAATCTGTTCGTAAAGGTGAAAAACCGTTAGCTCAAATAATTAAAAGGAAAAGCGAACAAAATTTTCATCCAGGTCGAATAGTAGAAAGGACAAAGAAAAAAATATCCTATTTATGAAAAAGCACATTCTGATGGTTCGACTCTTAATCTGAACATTTGTAAACAATTTTAAAAAATTATTTTACAAGACTTTGTGTTGCGTATAGATCATCCTAATAATTGTTGTACTCTTATCAATGGAAACATAATTTTAATTGAAAATATTGTCCATTGGAATAATGAGTTTAAGATAATAGGCAGAAAGTTTATGATCGTAGAAAATTTCTGTACGCGTCCCTGCAAATCAAAAGAGATTGGAATCTTTTCTGTTGACAATGTTGGTCCCCTTGAAATATTTAATGTAGCAGATATCTCATTTAAATGTGTGGTATTAAATTGGGAGGAAAAACATGTAATATTTCCATTAATACATGCAAACGTTAATTGTTAACGTTATCATATCAACGATTACTATCATCTTTTTTATTACAGGAAATTTCTAAAATTTGTAGAAAATAGTTTCGTTTTAATGAATTTTTGTTCATTTTCCCCATGAACCGATTTTAAAATTTAATTAATTTTAGAGATTCAAGATTTTCCCGATTTTATTTTACAACCTTCTATTAACAAATTATGTTTTATGTTTTTTATAAAATTGAAATAAAAAAAATGTTGCATTGCCTATAGTTGATCAAGAAAAAGAGAGTCAGTGGATGATTATCTTTTACTTTTCTTTTTTTCTTTGCCCTTAAAATTATTATTGAAATAGTCACACTCTTGATTACGAGTTATTTATGTTTTATTTGTTTTATATGTAAGAAAAAGATGTGTGAACAAACGTGGACTATTGTTCAATTCGAAGAAGATTGCTCTGTGGAAGCGGTACCCTCAACATGGATACAAGGGCAATTTTGTCATTGGCCTACATATTCACAAGACAAATTAATGACTGCAATCAGAAAGCATGAATCTTTAAATACATGCTGGCCTAGCTATAAAATTAGAAGCTTCAGAAATTCTACTTTTAGTAAGTTCTTATATTTAAAATAAGTATTTTACTATATGAGTTTTTATATTTAAAGCAAATATATTTACTGGTTTTAATATGATTACATAGAACAAATGTAATAAAATAGAACAAATATATTTTTTTTATTTTTTAAGATGACTATTCCAAAGCACGCTCAAAAGCACGTACCGCTGAATTTACAAGTGATTTAAATTCTGAAATAGAAGATAATGCTAAAAGGAAAAGAATTCAAAAAATTTTATCTTCCTCTTCATCAGAAGATAGCTTGGAAACTTCTTTATTATCACAACCACCAAGATTGAAACAGACAACTAGAATAAAGCAGAAAAATCTTGAAAAAAGTTCTAAATCAGTTTATGATTCCCCAAATCAGTCTACGTATCAGTCATCATTTAATACAGAAAATAGTAAGCCTTTATATATTAACTACTTAATTGCATATTTTGATTAATACTGTGCATATTTTAAGTATATATACTATACATTTGTGGTCAATTTGTTCATTATATATAATATCTAACAATTCAATACTTTATTCAATAAAAGCTATACCATAGTTTTCCAAATAGTTTTCCAAAAACTTTGCTAGCTTAAAAAGGCTTTACTAATTAAATATAATTTTAAGGCGATATGAAAATATGTAATTAATGCATCGGCGAATAATTTTTTATTTAGAGAATGTCGTAACATACATGTCAAAATAAGACAAATTGAATGTTACACAGAGTTTTCTATGCACTTATTGTATGATGAATTTTCCGTTCAGACATAAAAATTTTGTTTTCTAATTCTATCTATCGTTGAAAACTGCATGTGTGAAGTTATTATATAAATCTACATTTTGATGAACAATTTGCTACTGCACACATTTGCTGTACAATCCACGTGCCATAATATTTAACAAATGATAAATATTTATCACATAATTTCTTGTAGAATTAGATTTATAATAAGCATATATAGAATTTTATACATTTTTTCTCTTTTGTTTATGTATCTTATAGTTTTTACAGATAATTCAATTCTTGGTAAAGATGTTGATTCACTAAGTTATGAAACAGCGTTAGTTAGTAAGTGAATTTTATATATAGTTTCATCATTTTATAGTCCTATACATATTTTATAATAATAATAATTTCGAGAGATACTGTCGACAGTGCAAACTAAGAAATAATAGAAAATTAAATAATTTTATTTAAAAGGTTTTTTTTTTACAAGAATTGGTTAATATACATATCAAATTTTTTGTAGGTTTGCCATGCAATTCAGCTTGCAGTTGCTGTAGTAAGAGAGAGAAACTTGATGGTAATATCATATGTAAAGATTATACACAAATACATACATATATGCATACATACATACATATACATATGGGTGCGTGCGTGCGTGTGCGCGCGCGCGTGTGTGTATAATGACTAGTAAATTTAAATATAAATTGAAATAATTTTTTCAGAGAAGACTGTTAAGAATTTAATGGCCCAGAATTATTTGATACGAAGTATGGTTACTGATATATTATCTGAAGTAAAAGAAATTAAATTGCAACTAAAAAATAACTCTCAGCAAACTGTTTGGTGGGATCGCAAGGGAATTATTTACTTTGAGCTGCTCCGACGCGGCGAAACAATCACGGCGGACAAGTACTGTGAGCAACTAACTAGACTCGCTGCAGTTATTCGAGAAAAACGTCCGATTTTGGCCAATCGAAAAGGCGTCATCTTCCACCACGACAATGCTAGGCTACACGTCGCTCAACAGACGCTGCGAAAATTGCAGGAGTTGCAATGGGAAATTCTGCAGCACCTGCCATATTCTCCAGATATTGCGCCTTCAGATTTTTATCTGTTCCGGTCTTTGCAGAATAGTTTAAATGGCAAGAATCTCAATTCCGAGGAAGTTGTCGAAAACCACCTTACAAACTTTTTTCAAGAAAAACCAAGTTCTTTCTTCAAAAATGGAATCGACAAGCTTATAGATCGTTGGAAAACCATTGTAGAAAAGAATGGAGACTATATAATTGATTAATAAAAGTGTTATCTCTAAAATATAATCTATTGAAGTTTATATTTAAATCGGGCACGAACTTATGCAATCACCTGATATATAATGAAAACTTTATTTTATATAATTAATATAATAATATAATAAAAACAAAATAAAAAACTTAATATAATATAATAAAACAATATAATAAAAGCTACTAAATTGAATTTGTTCTTTTTCTATTAAAGTTTGATTTTAATGCTATATTAGGAATTTAATTTGTTAGTAGCAGTTACAACATTTTGCGCAATTAATAAATTGCTAACAAGTTAACTCCAATTTGCATTAAAAATGAACAATACTTTACCTACACCTACCTACTTTAAAACATTCGTTCAATGTTCGAAACAGGTCCAATTTTAGTCTGTTTAGTTCTTAAAATGGACATTTTTCGAATGTTCAGGAAAGTAACACTGGACATGTTTAAAATGTCCTAAAGATGTCTGAGGCTCTAATCTGGATGTTTTAAATATGTACGAAACATCCAATATGTATATTTTTAATACGTTTTTAAAACGTCATTGTGCTGTCTGGGTTGTGAAAAAAGACAAAGTGTTGATGATAATCGGCATTGTGATTACTTAAACGATAAACGGTAATGTAAATATTTTTTTTATTTATGATTTGTATTTCATGCTTTTACCTAATAATTAATTTTTATTCAGGGCAGAAATCGAATTAGAATCTAATGTATGATCCACAAACGTCGCATTTATCGTCATCAAATTACGAATCATAAAGAGACATTCATGTGCAAAATGTTACTATTATAATATTGAAAAAATTCTGAATCTTGATAATCCTAATGAATTTATAGGCAAACGGTAATAATTCTAAAAATTTTTTTTAATTTTCCGGTATATAATGCATTATTTTACATATACATGTTCTTTTTAGAAAAAAAACTGAAGTTAAGGTTCATAAACATTCTACAACATGTACTCCACAATAAGAAAAAGATGTTAGATTTTTTTCACCTATGGCTGAAGATTTTCGGTAAAAATTCTTACGTATCTCTTTATATTAAAATATTTTTTAATGAATTATTACAAAGCATACTTTTTATTTTTTCTGTAGCCAATTATATGAATGGATAGACACAAGGTTTACAAATATTGAAAGAACTATACAAAATTCTCTAAATTCAAAAAATAAGAAAAAATGTTGGATTAAATCTTCTTTTCTTCCCTTTACAAGTAAAGAAGAAGTTCTAAAATTTGATAATGCAGAAGAGAAAACTTATGACGAAGTTGTAAGTATTAAATACAAAAAAAGGAGATTATTTGCTATATATAAATTATTAATTTAAAATTATACTTGTATATGTATTAGATATGTTATCTACAATATGTTGGAGGATTTTCATTAAAAGAAGCATTAAATTTAAAGAAACAGTTGAAGACGAAGTTATGTCTTTTTTTACTTTTTATGGCAATAAAGAAGAAAAAATTGACTCATTTTTCAAAACAAAACTTTGTTCTGCTATTCAAGGTTAGCTTTATTTTTATTGCATATAGTATATTACAAATATGTATAAAATGTAATATAATAAATAAATGTTTTCATTTATAGAAGCAATATCGGAAAACAAACACTTTCATTCACCAAGTAGTACGGAGTTTCGTCAAGATATGATTGAAGCCATTCGTAATGCCAAACAACGTAAAAGAAATGCAATTAATAAAAAGGAGAGCAAAGGTAAACGTCATTTCCAAAAAGAAGAAATGCAACAAATCTTTATGCAACGTCAAGAGAAGTACTTGCAAAAAGAATAATATAAGTATTTTTATAAAGAAAAGTAGATATATATGAGTTTAAAACGAACAAAACGCAAATTTGTTCGAATCTGGTTTCTTTTTTTAATTTTTTAAACACGGAATCTTTTTTTTCATTTATATTTCGATTACTGAAATTCACTACAAACCACAAGTGTTAGAAATTTTAAAATAAAAATGATAAATGGTGTATTTTTCTTTTCTCAAATTGTAATACTATTATATAGTTCCGTCAGAACTTCAGTATTTGTTTGCAAATTACTTAAGAAATTATATTTCTTTTTACTTTATATTTATATGTGTATGGAAAAGAGAGTTTAAATTTTTATGTTACTGTTTCAAAGCTTTATTTGATCGATTTATTGTATTTATTTCGATATAGATATAAAAGATGTTTGTATATAATTTTACATTGACTTCAAAAATTTTATTTCTTTAAATTTAAGTATAATTGAAGTATCACTTTAGTACATAAAATGTATCAAAATTAGTATGCTAATTACATATTGTATTCATATAATTATAACATTTAATTGATAACATTTAATTTATAAAATAATTTTTTCCTAGCGCGTTTCCTTTTAATCTTTAATTATTTACGCAATATATTGCAATTTGTTAATTATATTTAAAACATTATTATTTTTATACAAGAGAACATTATAATAAATTCTATTGTAAAATTAAATAATTAATCTTGATAAAAATAACGTGTTTGAGTTTTATTGCTGCATATTGTGTGTAAAGAATATTAGAATAACATATTTTAAACATTTTAATATTCTAAAATACATTGAACTCTTCATTGAGCGATGTTATATAGTAATGTATCCTTTGATATTTATCAAAATTTTAATTAACAATTTTATAACAATTGTAAATCTAATTAAAGTATTAATTAAATTTTTGAAAAATGTTAACACGTACATTATAGCATACATTATAATTAACATATTCTACAATAGTTAAATATTTTTAAAATCTGTATATTATTGTAATAATACCCATTTATTACATTATTTTAATACAATGTTATTTTAATGTTCCTGCGATGGGTACTCGCCTCTGCATTGTGGGAATCTTGACGTCAGAGGCGAGAAATGACATACTTTTGCTAAATCGCTTGAGCACACTAAAGCGATTTGAAGTGTTTTTTCATCTAAATATCTTTTTATTTGAAAATATCACGCAAGCATGTCATTTCTCGCCTCTGACGTCACGATTCAACATTGCCGCGGCGAGTATCCAGGAGCCTTAATATCTTTTTATTATGATTTTAATCAATATATTCATTTCTTATTGCTCCAATAATGTCGGATTAATTGCGTTCTATTTCTGGCAAAATAAGCAGCATATTGTCGCAATTTTCATAGTATCGGAAGATCTCTTTCACTTGCTGATAACACATATCATATCAGGACGCATTTTTCAATGTTTATGCAAGCATTTTCAATTTTTAAGTTTCATCATTATGCAGGCAATATGCTGACATATGTCTATCTGGGTAAAGCCGTAATCAAAAATCTAACGGCACTTTTCTTATATAATGTGGATGCAAGCTTTCGATTGCGATCAGTTTGAATAAGATTGGTGCAGTCAATCCTGAGGAATGATAATAGTATACCAGAATTGTGACATTTTCGGTTTTCAGGATAAGTTTCAGACTCACGTACGTATGCTCACACGCACACACGCAAAGCGATTATGTCCCTTAAGCGGCGTTCACATCGCTCATATACGATTATTCGCTTGAGTGTGCAGACAGGGTTGCCAGATTTTTCAAACATCAAGTCGCCAGTAGATGCCACTCCAGTCGCCAAAAGTTGCCAACTTTATCACCTAAATCGCCAACTTTATCGCCAATGGAGATCGCCTAAGTGGCCAATAGAAACACGTTTTTACAGTCCCTTTAAATATTTAAATTAATCAAAGCCCGTAGCGACTATCTCAACTGTGATAAGAATGGACGAGGTTAAAAAAATGTCGATTATTAAATATAGACTAATACAAATTCTGGAAAAAATAATATAGCCAGATTTCCAATGAATTGCATATATTTATTCAGTCTTATATATATTACAGGAATTATAAGGAACGAAACGATGAATAATACCATGCGATCATATAACGTCAAATAAATTCCAATAAACGTATATTAATTTTTTTCTAAAATTTTGAAGAACTCAAATCAAGTCAACGAGTAGAAATGTATGTATTTAACCTAAAGGAATGAGAACGAGCGTATGCATAAAGCTTAAGGTTACGACAGTGAGGCCGATATTACATTCATACGACAAAATGTTTGTCGGACGTAGCGATCGGCTATCGAATAGAGAATTTCTAGAGTCTGCATCGAAATTCTAAGAATTCTCCATCTGATTGCCAATCGATATGTCCGACAAACATTTTGTCGTATGAATGTAATATCAGCCTGAGAGTATAAATCAAACTTAAGACAATGAGAATTAACGTGAGTGTTAAACCCAAGTCAACAGAAATAAGTTGTAACAAACTCAAACGAACAAAAACGAGCGTGTGTACATAACCCAAGACAACGAGAGCAAGAATTGCTCATCAAGCCCAAGATAACGAGAATGAGCGTTAATATATCCAAACTCAAGTCCCAAGTCAACGAGAAACTTCATATGAACGAAAATGATATACTCTGCTACTACATATAAAACATCTCTGAACATATAATAAATTATTATTATATATAAATATATATAATAAGCATAGTTGAGTTTGTGTCTCAGACTCAACTTTGTTGTATTTCAGACTTCAACTTTATTCTATCTCAGAATTTTTGCTATTTACAATAGATCTGAAATAATATCGAGCATTTCACTAAGATTCTCGGCTTGGTTTTCTTCGCTATCGAAATTCGTGCTGTTGGTTCCAGTCGCTTGCCCATACATGATGCTCGATTTAAAACGATTCAACACTTCCGTTGAAGACTGAAACGTTTTGCAGCATTTCTCATGCGCTTGAAAATGTATACGAATTCTGAGAAGAGACTGCAGCATCGAAGTTTTCAGTTTATTTCGAATTCGCGTTTTTGTCAAAGCGAGTGCGGGAAAAGCTTGTTCGACGACAGCATTACTCGTGGGAATTGTGAGCATTTTTAACATCACTTCTGCCAGTTCTCGGAAAATAAAACGGCCATAACCATCGGTGTATTTATATACGTCAGGCCAAAATACTAAAATATTCGTTGGAATATCCCGTTTGTAATGAGCGTGCCAGTCGACGAAACGGAGTTTTTCCCACTGGTTCTTATAAACAGAGACATCACAGTAAGGATCGAAGAAATTCTGCAAGGGAAGCTCCTCGAACTTGTAAAATGCAATGGCTTGGACTTAGCTGCATTTTCTTAAAGAATTCAAAATTTTCTGGAAGCCTCTGTGCTAATTCCATTAGTAGTCTTTTTAAAAAATTGAAACATCTCTTCTGTATCTGGGAGTTGTTTTCCGTGGTTATTTGACATTTTTCAATTTCCTTCCTGAATTCAGATCCGAAATCCATTTCTGTAACTGGCAAAAAGGCCAGGTCATTTCCGACGGCATCAATTACTTGTTTTACGAGAGACTTATCGTGTGCGGCTTTCAAGAAATTTAATTTCAAAATCTGTCCAGCGAACGACAAAAATATGAAAGACATCTTTACATATACAGCTTCCAGGGTCGACTTTTTCGCTTTGGAATGACCCAGATAGCCAAGTCTGTCGAAAGCAGATCATGCCAAGTGCCCGCTATCAACTATTGTTAGCAAAAAGGATACAAATTTGATATAGAAGTTGTTATTACAGATTAAATCGACAGATTGGTGCCAAAAACAAAGCAGAGTATGCTCACAGAATCTGACAGCATCAAAACGAGCAGGATCTGCTAACTTGACTTGACGTCAGATTGTCGGCAGAAACCGAGCAAGATCTGCGCGCGCGCGATCTGACGGCAAATTGGCAGCAGAAACCGAGCAGAATTTGCAGCTTTTAGCCATTTATATAATTTATTGAAATAGTATAGTTTATTCGCTTACCGCTATGCGGCGCACTATTTACTTTCTATACCCGTATTCAAGTTCTTGTCAT